GGCTCTTTGTACAGCTAGAAATATAACTATTGACCAGCTCCCAATGGCTTTATAGCTCTGTAGAGCTAAATTAAATACAATTGAACACCAGTATTGCAAAAATCTCATGGAAGCCTCAGATTTTTTCTGAGATTTCTCTACAACTGTAGCGACCACTATCATTTGACTACGAAAAAATATATCACAATGAAATTAAAGTTCTTCACTAGACCTTTGAATATAGAGCCTTCCAATGAGGTTCATTCTTGAAATATCCCGAAAATAAATGCTCAGACCATTTATTGAATTTTATAGTGTGAACGCCGCGTGATATCATTACGGTCCACGTGCACGCGTGGTAGACACAAATATCGAGAAGAACTGGAACCATTATAACAGTTTATGATATTTTCTGGATTGATTGTAACAACGGATCTGTTTTCTGTGCGTATATATAAAAACAGGTCCACATAAACAGAGCTGAACTGAAAAGTTTGAGTTGCCGAGGGACGCAAAATAAATTATAGAGTAAATGGTTTGTTCATGTTTGTTATCTCTCAAAAGGGTTCTAATTGTTGTAAGGTCCCGCCTTCAGGAAAATAAGATTTCTTGTAATATATTTAAATATTTTCTAACTTCAAAAGCTAATGGTTCACTGATGTACGTTTTTACCCGCTATTGGTCTTCAGTTTTTGTCTTAGATCAGCCCGATATCTCTAATCAACGTCAAGCCTTTCATAACAAAACATCTGAGACCAAACGATAGAAATCAACTTACCTCAACTGCGAAAACGGAAAATAAACAGCCGTTTGAAAAATATAAAGAGCTAGACTTGATTGTGATGGTTTCATTGTCATATGTGACTTTTGAAAAACGAAAAAGGAACTTGAAAAACAAATGTAAATAAATATCTGATCTGCATATTAAATCACTAACGAAATGCCATTTTATTTTCTTAGGTTACAAAAGAATTCATCACAGAGTATATGGGAGGAGTAAAAACCATCTTGACTTCAATTTATGATTTTTCTATGTTATGTTAAAGTAGTGAATGTTAAGACAAAAAGCAATAAAACCTCATTTATCACAGACCAAACATCATTTATATGTTAATTTAGTGATAAAAACTTTGATAACAAAGGTTTAAAACAACAAAGAAAATTATAAAATAAAGTAAATATAAAACCTCCGGTAAAATAGTCTTAAAGATTTAAAATATTTCGAATAAAGACTAAAATGTTGCATGCTAAAGACAACCTAACAAACACTCCAACTCTGCCATGAGTTGCGCTGATCTTTAATGAAATAAATGCAGACATTTTGCGTGGGTTAGTGCCTCCACAGACTAGGCCAATTGTTATCGATAACTATTTAGTTGTCGACCATAAAAAGTTGTCGATAACAAAAAAGCCAGTATGTGAAGCTAGTTATCGATAACTAAGGGCCTTAGTTATCGATAACTAAGGCCTTAGTTATCGATAACTAAGGCCTTAGTTATCGATAACTAAGGGCCTTAGTTATCGATAACTAGCTGCACACACTTGCTTTTTTGTTATCGACAACTTTTTATGATCGACAACTAAATAGTTGTCGACAACTATCTCTCTAGTCTGTGGCATGGAGGCCCTAACTCTTTACCAATGTGGAATTCCTTCCTTAGTTCCATCAATGTATGTGTTGGTTTATTTAAATCGAATTTACACCAACTTGCATGGCAAGCGGTTTCCATAAGCGCTGACTCTTTACCATCCATGTTTTAAAATTTGAAAATCGGGCCTTTAAATCTTAGTTCTAAATTGAGAACATTTCCACAAGTAGTCATCACATTGCTGTAAACATTTTTTTTTTTGGTAAATTATAAAATATACAGAAACTCAAAACTGATGAGGTGAACACTTGAATTTAATTAGTAAATCAACTGACTGTACATGAGATCTTAGGCGCATGAATCAGTTTTGCTGATAGGATGACTAAGAATTAGAAACATGCATGCACAAGGCAGCGAATCGAAATAAAGCAAAGTAATAATAATACTGAGTGCAGACAATTTGTGGCTCCCCATATATCAAAATATATAGAGGATATTACACGGCGGCGCGAAGATATGAATTTTATTTTCGAGTGTAAAACAATATTTTACGAATGAGCGCAGCGAATGAGTAAAATATTGTTTTTAACACGAGAAAATAAAATTCATATCTTCAAGCACCGTGTAATGTTCTTTTTATTATATAGACAAAAGACAAAAGCACAAACTTTATCGCGAACTCTTGCAGCTCGGTGGCTGGACTTTCCGAATTCTCTCCTTTCGTCTTCACTTGCAAGGAACTCCTTGAATAATTTTAAGTCATATGAAGTTTTCTTCTTCGTGTCAACATTTTCCTACTCCTCAGTGAACGATTTCATGTCGGCTTCAGTGAATTTCACGAATCTATCGCTCGGCATTTTTCAACCGGTGTTTGGCATCTTTGCACAAAAAGCCATGCAAAAGCGGGAAATGACGTCAGCGATATCCTCACTAGTGAGGATGTAGTTTCGTATGAATTTTACGAGTGGTCTATTTTCCAGTAAAACACTCGTGTCTATATAATAAAAAATAATATGTCATGCGATCAAGAAACAATCAAACAACATCACACAACATGGCTGCGACTATCAACCGAGAAGACGAGACCACCGACCGTTCCTGGTAAATGACTATATGTAAAACGTCGCGAAATGTCACTGCTTAGATATCAGATTGCGAAAACTGTGTAATATGTTTATCATATGTTCTGACTAATTATATTAGGATAATTTTGGTGAAATATGATCGATATTAAGCCATGTTAACGTTACTTAGCAACGTTCTTGCAGAAAAAGTATCAAACGCTGTTGTTTCTTGGAGACGCGTTAGACCGATAATAAACCTTTTCCAGTGAATGTGTATGAAGGGCGAGGGTTAATATGACGTATGTAAATGATGTGCGCTCTCGCTTAATGTCGCGCGTGTCCTGTTCATAAACTGTAATAGGATTAACATTCATTAGAGATATGTTAGGTCAGGACCTCAAGTCAAATATTTGTTTCTCCAGCCTTTATCAATTCTTCTTTAGAAATTCACAGCTTCTTTGTACAAATACATTTTTAGGTCACTAAGGAAACTTAAAGGTATTTACTTTGACCAAGCAATTAAATTGACTGATGTATGGGACTAATTAACCTTTTGTGAAGTCTTATAAATTGAAACTTATGCTAGCTTTCAATTTAGAAAACAAATACCAGCAGATTTAGAATAATTAAGATGAAAAAATTAAGAAAAACAATTACCGGTTTATAAAGGTAGAAAGCTTCCATACATCGTACACAATGCTAGTGTTTTGTGTTATATTCACCGAAAAAAACTTTAATTATTCGCTTAGTTTTGATTTAGTGTTAGTACACTCGCTTTTGTATGCTTACTTACGGTGTGCAAATAACATTCTACGAATAGTTTACGTGGACTTTAATAGCAGCAATTTTCAACTAGTTACCTTCTAAAGCTTCGACTAAGATGTATTTCTGAGCTACTAAAGGCACTCGACTTCGATTCAGTTTTCGTGATCGTTGTCGATTGACTCAAAGTTTTCCTTCTGATTGTTGTTTAAGAGACGGAATAATTACATACAGTGGTTGGTAATGTTTACTTCACATATGTCCATTTTACGCATCACATTTACTATAGTACACAGCTGATACTGATAGAAAATATGAACTAACAACGTGATCCCGTACACTTTTCATTCCAACCAAATCTGCTTGTGTCAAGATACCGGTATCGTGACTTCAGATTAAAACAGGTAAATATACATGTCATTAAGTAATAAGAACATAAAGAACAGCCACATTTGATTCTTATTTCATACTGCATGTCGTAACAACGAATTTAAATTCAATCATCAATTGAAACTGTGTCCCAGGCGCGGATCCAGACCGGCTTACACCGTTTTACGGAAATCGGTCAAATTTTCAAAATGACTCAAAACTCGAGGGAAATTGAAAATCTAAAAACTTTTTCGGGGGAACTTGCCTCCGGACTTCCATAAATTCGGCGCTCGGAGTCTAGTAAACCGGTCAAGTTTTTTCCTGGATCCCCGCCTGCACTGTGATACTTACTTCTCAGTTTGTAATGCGATTGCTTGAGCGGACTTGAGGCACTAAGTCAGTACTGGATAACAGGACAACTTAAACACTCCTTTATGTTCATTCTTATCAGTAGAAATCTAAGCTTGTTCTATATCTGACCACTTGTCTAAAGGCTAGATTGACATATGACGAAATGTTGAGACAGACCGTCAGTTGGATATACGTAAAGTAAATTCGTTTGTTCATGAACTTCAAGTAGTTAATGAACTTTTCAATTGTGTTTCCCGTGTAAGCACATTTTTTATCTTTGATGAAAGACAAGGAATGTGTGGCTGAACAAGTTTTGAATCAAAGAATTGTCCAAATGCCACGAGAGCCTAACGCGTGGGTTTGTTACTGTTTCCCTTGAACCGATGTGAGAACAATTGGGCGGGATATGGTGGTGTCTTGGTCCATGTGTATTGGAAGGTAGGACGGGGGGGGGGGGGGGGGATATCGCGCCCGGTTGAGATACAGTGGTGGATCCAGGGGGAAGGGTCGGGGGGTCCTAAACTCAAAGTCGTGTTTGCATAAACTCAGTACGTAATTAGCCTCCAGAGGCAATGCTACTAGCTTTATGCACAAAATAAAATTGTATAAAATGAAAACAGCTTTAATAGTGAACGTTAGCAAAAGAAAATGGGTGTAGAATTTGAAAAAAAACACCCCTGGGGCTTACTCGTAGAAATACGACAACACGCTTTCGCAGGATTTGAGCCCATAACCTCCTTTGATTGCTACGACTGCAAGTAGTCCCTCTTTCGGATAGTTGCATTGAGCGAGAGCGAAGCGCGAGCAAGCGGAAATAATCCCATTTCTGCTGGCTCGCTCCAACTATCCGAAAGAGGGACGTGCAGTGTACTTGCTACCAATGTGTGGCTTCATAGCTCAGGTTGGTAGAGCAGCGCACCGGTAATGCGGAGGACATGGCTTCAAATCCCGTCGAAGCTCTGAATTGTTTTCAGGCTTCTAAGAAAATGCGAACATAACTGCGAGGAATACTTTACACTCCATCATTAATGTTGGTTGACATACCTTTAAAATCCAGAATATCATTGTATTGCATTTTATTTGGTTCTCTTTATTTTTTTGGGGGTATTATAATTATTAGTATAACATATTTTCTTTTTGGCAACCATCAATTCAACTGTCTAGGCAAAGCTTTATAGAGAAATTGAGGTTGATATCAGCCACCATTGTATCACGTGTTCACTTGTTTACTGCATCTGAAAAAAGAAAGGTAATCCTTGAGTTTCAAGATATAACTGTATGTAATACATTTAGTTCAACTGAGTAAAATATGTACAGTTACAGAATATATTGGAAGCTGTGCACTTCAAACAAATCATCACAGCAGAACTAAATCCCGCTTCCCTATAAAAATATATAATTTTCCTATTATTTACCCTTAATTCAGAACTCGTCTCAACATTGAGACTCGTGAATCATGCTATCTACTGAGTGTATCTGCCACTGCATATTTTCTGAAACATAATTACAGACTCGAATATTCTAAAATTGATTCCTGTCAAAATTGTAATGGTATAAATGCAATTATATATCGAAAATTCAAGATAAAAAAAGTTCAAATTCGCTTTCTACTTTTTATATATGGAAGAGTGAATACGAAACGTTTATATGGTCAGTCTGGCCAATAACACCAGGGATGTCCGCAGTGTAGTGCGTTCTACCAGTTAATACGATCAGGTGTAGGATATCACAATTTTGCTCAATAATGAGCATACTGTCTAGCAGTAGTCACTCATACTAGTAGTACTCACTTCACACAGTTATCGCCAGGCGATATACGAAATTTTCCAATGGTCCACCCACTCCTCCCTCACACTCGGCTACTCCATATGTGTCATAGTTGTCAGCTATATTTAAATCTGTGCGGCATTCACCAAGGTTTTGCACGGCAAAGTATTCATAGTCCATATCGCGCGCGACGTGCGCGCATTTCACGACTGTCGCCTGTGGATCCAATGGGTCGTACGAGTTTCGGAAGCTCGCAAACATTATGTTGAGAAGTCGATAGGACTTTTTCTTCTCTTTGAAGCACCCTAGTGGAGTCAGCATTGGAAGTAATTCTATAAGAGAAAATAAATCGAGCATAAGCCATACACATATAACTCTTATATATTACCCTGTTCAGACAGGGCTTTTTTGTCTTTTCAGGAATCCACCCCTCCCACTCCGTAACTCCAAGAATACTAAAGATATGAGAGTGAAACTTGGAGGGTATATAGTAAGTCCAAAATGCTTCCATTGAGTCACGCAACATGAGATGATGACGTAATATGACTCGGAGATTACATTATAATTGGACGAAACTCTTGCTGTTGGAACGTTGGATCCAAAATGATGATCAGCCAAAAGGTAAAGTACGCTATAGATAAAGAGTCCAAAGACTACTACAAAGCTGATGCAACAATGTATATTGTTAAAGGTGAAATATTGCACGATTTAAAAATATACGTTGTTGCATCAGCTTTGCACTTTAGTCTCTGGACTTACGCCATCTTGGATTTTTTATTTTCCCTGAGGTCAGAAAACCATGAAAAATGTCTCAAAAGTAATCAAAACCAATAAAATAATACTAAAATGATCTAAAGATATAAAAATTATTGCAAGAAAGTTAATACATTTATTAAAAACAAGAAAAATACGGTTGTCATGGTAATAGTAAGTTCCGTGAACAATAAGATGACATACAAAATTGTTGCCAGATAAATTTCAGGTAAAGTGGAAAAGTTTGGTGTCTTTTGCTTTAATATTAAAAACAACTCCCTGATAACAAACTGTTAAAGTCCATGCGGACTGATTCCGGAGCCCCGGTCCAGGGCCGTAGCTAGAACTTTTGAATGGGGGGCAATGAAGCGAGTGCCGAAGGCGCGAGCCGCTAGGTGGGTCTGGGGGCATGCCCCCTCAGAAAATTTTGAAATCTAGAGGTTCGGAAATGCTATTTTCAGCATTCTCCATGAGATATTTTGTAAAAAAATCAATCTCGATCAAGTGTAAAACGACAGGTATTTTTAGTGCTAATTTTTTACAGCAATATTTCCGAGGTTTTGTTTACTTGATACATACCGTATATCGGCATTAGCCCTTAGTACCCAGTTTTCGTTTTCAGAAAGCATTACCCATAACCCTTGCCCCCCCCCCCCCCCCCCCCCCCCCGCACTAGCTACGGCCCTGCGGTCTGAATAAGGTTAAAATGTATCTCTGCTAGAATGTTTGTTTGCCTGTTTCAGTAAAAAAAATGTATTGAAAACTACTGACATGACAATAAATGTAACTTACCAAACGTGTAGACAACAATACGTTTATTGATACCGACGCCATTTGGACAGTTGGTGTCAATAGTGGAGGTTTTTTTGTGATACTCATCTCTCGCGTTAGCACCTGACCGACATTTGCCATTATATCCTAGCGCAAAGAACTTGTAGCTTTTACCAAACGCCAACTCCGCGCATGCGCTGAGTGCCTCTTTAGCCTCTTGAGATTTATCTCCATTGACTAAATCTCCAAAGTCACGGAGTACATCGGGTAGGAAACTGATTCCGGTATTAAAGCAGGCGATTTTACTGTAAGGAGGAACTGGGAAAATAAAAATACTTCATATAGCATGGAAAGTGTCTAGCAAGCCGGTAGTGGACCCAGGAGTGAAGTTACTAACTTTAGTCCAAAGATTAATAATTGTGTTTTACAAAATTGTTACAATTAATTCGTGCGTGTGCTTCGGTTAGTGAGTTATTCACAAATAAGCTTGCGTCCAAGAAATAGAGGCCTCGTATCCACAACGAAAATATGGATGTTACAAAACGAATGATTCTAGAGATAAAGGATTGACAACTGAGCTTCTTGAGCGGCATTTTCAATACTTTTGTAGACATTTTAATGGGTTATTAGGACGATAAACCACAAAAAATAGGTGGTCTATCTTGCTTTGAAGTGAATATAGTTAAACAAGAGCAATAGTCGACTGATACCTAACATCAGTAGTAGTTATTATATTTTTGGGTGAAATTTTATTTTGCGTCACCATTTCCTACCTTGGCAGTTTTGCCGCTGTACCCATCTGTGCAATGACAGTGATATAATGAAACATCTTGATCATCATTACTACAGGTAGCTCCGTTCACACAAGGATTGTTGTCACACGGAAAGAGTTGAACTGATGAAAACACAAAAGACACGTTATCAAGTTCAAATTCGTGAAGTGCTGTTACGTTGTTGTTGTAAATAAGTTAATTAATATATAAACAAGAGACAATTGCATGAAACCGATCGAGCAAAAGGCTCACGTAACACTCTAAAGGTGTTGAAAAACTTCCTAAAAAAACACCAACAGTTCACAAATACTGACAATAGTGCATTGCACGTTCGAATCCAGTTGAAGCCTTAATTTCTTTTTTGCAGGGTTACGTTAAGGGTTATAGGGTTAACCCGAACTACTTCATTTGTCGTAAAAGATCTCTCAGTCCTTTTGAAAATGACTACCTTATTATCACTAATTTTCGCGCGTACTTAATTTCGCGAAATCGACAGATCTCGTATTTCGCGAGGCTTTATTTTTGCGATTTGAGATAAAAATGGGCTCAAAGACTTAAAATTTGCGAAAATATCGTCTTTATTTTCTCGTTTTTTGATACATCGTGAAAACCGCGAAAATTAATACTCGCGAAAATACTAAATAAGGTATGTTTTTCAAAAAACTTAAAGATGAAACCCTTGTACTAAACTAACTTTTCTTTTGTAACAACGTTAACTGACCAAACGAATGACTGGTTATAGGCATGTACAATTGAACTTCTACAACTTTGTAAGAAGTCTCGAGGATGTTAATAATATACCTAATCATGAAATTTTGGTAATTCAGTGACAAATTAAATCAGCTCGGGCGAGTTTGAGGGGTCGGATGGTGTCACAAAATAAATAATGTGCCGTCCTTTAGTAAGTAAGAATAATGGAAGAAGATACCTTGGCAATTTGTGCCTTTAAACCAATCTCCACAGTCACAAGTGTATTGCGCCGGGCTGCTTGTATCACTTGAACAACCTCCATCATTCAAACAGGGATTATCAGTATCGCAAATTGTTTGAGCAACTAAGAAGAAAACCAAAAAAAACGCTGTTACAAAAACAAACAGTAGAAAATAATAGTTTGGTCACTTCCGATCTGCAAATAGAGCTCATCTTCAAAGAGGCAACAACAAAAATCGAACATTCACATCACAAGTTGTGAGGTATGGAAGTTCGCTTATTTGATCTGAACGGAGATAAACAGAATATGAGGTTTGAAACTGCAAGCATCTTTTTAAAATAACTCTTAAACATGCTTTCTGTGTTGAAGTAGCTCAGATTAATCATTAGACATCGGGAAGAGGAAAACAAATAAAGTTGCAGTAACGTATAATGTAACAATGCAGCCAGATTAGTCAACCGCGCGTAGCCTGTGTTGTAGAGAGATGATGAGAACATCTAGAGAATGAATGAATAAATGAATGAATGAATGAATGAATGAATGAATGAACGAATGAATAAATGATTGAATGAATCGACTTTGAGATTCAGATGAACAATGATCATTACCTTCACAGTTTGTTCCAGTGAACCAATCTTTGCACTGACATTTGTATTTGGAGATGTCATTAGCATCATTCTTACAAGTGGCGCCATTTTGACAGGGATTGCTGTCACACGGGTAGACTTGAACTGAGTAAAGTGAGAGGAAATGCTTTGTTGGCTATACATGTACAATGGCATATCACGATTAAACATTTTCTTTTCCGGGATTTCGTCATAAGCTTTTTGTCCAGTCACTTTTAGAAATGAATAAGTTTATTCATTGTATCATCTGGGTTGCACTGTGGTCTCTAAATTGACAACCTTCTTCACGTTCTTTCCATTTCTGGCACACATTTCCTACTACCACCTATTTTTATTATA